GGTAGCTTTATTATTAGAATCAATACCTCTTTAGGAAATGACTATTTTTCAGAGATGTCTTCTAGGCGTGGCTGGCTTTTGGCCTTTGAATTTCTCTTAGGATATGCTGCCTCTTCTGTTTAAGAGATGAAATGTTTGGCCTAGCACCCAGTTCTTTTCTTTCTTTTTTTTTTTAGTACTGGGGATGGAACTCAGGACCTTGTAATTACGAGGCAGACACAGTGCCACTGAGCTAAATCCCTGGCCTGCACTCAGTTCTTTGATACTGGGGTGTAGTATTGTTTATGATCCCCCAGACAATCCAAGTATTGGCACAAAGGAAGATCAATGGATCACAGCAACAGGGTCACCTTGGGTAAAATATTACAAACAGCAATAATAACATCGAACACAGACTGGAAAATGACAGAATATGATAACTAATAATTTGCCACCCTTAACCACAGGGACAAGATTTATGGTTATACAACAAAATTGGACACAAATCAGAAAATTATATACAGTACATATCCACTCAATAGAGCGATATTTACCCTGAGTTGAAAAATTTAAAAGGGAGAACAGGAAAAGCTAGAGAAATAAAAGAAGAAAAAAGAGATTAGAAACCAGGATGAAGCACAGAGAAAGATTACCCAAGCTTCAGGAAACAGGTTAAGAAGACAGGAGGGAAGGAAAGAATGAAAAAACAAAAACAAAGCTAAGAGGCCAGGGATTTAGCTCAGTGGTTCCAGCACTTGCCTCGCAAGCGCAAGGACCTGAGTTCCATTCCCGGTACCAAAACAAAACAAAAGAAAAAATCAAAGCTAAGGAAAACAACTACAATGTTAACCTTCACAAAGAAACAATATAATAATAATAATAAAAATAAATTACCAAAAATTTTAAAAAAGCAAAGAAAGAAAAAAAATTTCTCTGTGATTTCAAGCCTGTGGTTATTTTCTGGGGTCAACTATTTTATGGCAGTGTCCAATTCAAGGCATGACTCTGATCTTGCTGGCAGAGAAAGGAGGCAGTCAGGACCCAGATACATGCTGGATAATCTCAGCAAGCAGTAGTATTAAATTTAAGCTTGTGTGTCTGATTTGTTTCATTTAACATGATCTCGAGGTGCATCTGTTTTCCTACAGATGACTTCTTTGTCTTTCATAGCAGAGTATTACTTCATTGTACTACCTTTTCTTTACCCATTCGTCAGTTGATGGATATATAGGTCACTTCCACGATTAGCTATTATGAATTGCACTGTTACAAACATGAGTGGGCATGTATCACTGTATTATGATGTCCTTCATTCTTTTGGGAAGATACCTAGAAGGGGAATAGCTAGGTCAAAAGGAAATTCTAGTTTTAGTTTTTTGAGGAATCTCCATATTGATTTCTATAGTAGTTGTTCTAGTTTACATTTCCACCAACAATGTAGTAGGGTTTTGTTTTCATTGCAGCTTTACCCATATTTGTTATTATTTGATTTCTTGATGATGGCCATTCTTTCTGGAGTAAAATAGGCTCTCCCTGTTGTTTTAATTTTAATTTCTTTAATATTCAGAGATGTTAAATGTGTTCCATGTATTTACTGGCCATTTGTACTCCTGAGATGTGTCTGTTCATTTCAGTTGCCCATTTTTTTGATTGAGTCTTTTATTTGGGTTATGAATTTTTTGAATTCTTTATATAGTCCTCTGAGAAATTGCCAGCAAAATTTTTCCTATTCTATAGGTTGTCTCTCCACTCTGTTGGTTGTTTCCTTTGCTGTGCAGAAGCTTTTTAATTTGATATGATCCAATTCAGTGTGGGTTTTTTTTTTTTTTTTTTTTTTTTTGGGGGTTCAAACTTGAGACCTTGCCCT